AAGCCAATGGTATCAAAGCCATATTGTGGCCCTGGGCTTCAACAGAACCTAAATGTAGACGTGTTAGTCGAGGCTGGCTCACCATTTTTTAGAATAAAGCTCCCTGCACAGACCCCTTTGCACAGGATCTATACAGGAGCTCTCACATGGGGGTGGACCTCACATGTGGATCCCATGTGTGGGGTCCACCCCCATGTGTATGCATCTGTACAGACCCTGTGCAAAGGGGTCTGTACAAATAGCACAACTGTATTTTTTATACCCATAATTTCGTGTGTGAAATACAAATAGTATCTCGAAGTAAATAATGGTCAGTTCTAAAAGTCTGTCGCATATTTTGTTGTAAAAATTTGAAAAAGTAAAAAGTAAATTTCACAACGAATTAATTGACGTGTCATCAACGGGGTTTTTTCATTGATAAACATGTAGTACGTTGTGATCCTAAAGTTTCTTAAATAGTGCTCAGCAATTATTTTACCGCGCTAAGCAATATTTTTAGATAATTATATTCACTCAAATTTTGAAAAAGTAAGCCCAAGAAGTTCCATTTATCAATAATATTGATCCACAGCGTCTTCCATTGTTTCCAAAAAAGTAAACAAATTAAGTTAAATTGTATTAGTCAAATGATTTTAAACATGAAAATTTAAGTAAATATAAATTTTAATCATAAATACTTCTCTTTTTGCTGTAGCATTGAGTGCTCCACTCCACTCCACTCTATTCTTATTCAATCTGTGTTTAAATTCCCACTAATTATAAGTTGAAAAACAGTAAACAAAATCTCTATACAATGTGAAGTTCTGAAGCCACTTCTCTTAAACGCAGTAAATACGAAGTAAAAAGTAAGTAAGAACTTACTTATGTTAACTTATAATTTATTCTTTAGTTCTTTAACTTGTTATTATCACATGATATTTTCTTTTCAGATTATAATGGGAGGATGAAGACTTAGGTTATTCTCTTTCTTGCTTCATTGTTGATAGCGGGAAATTTCTAGGTACGCGCAAAAATGCTTCATAGGAAGAATAATCGCGTCCTAACTAGCAACATACATCTTGGTGGCAAAGAAGGAATTGCAGTAATTAAATTAGTAAAACTGCAGAGAATGAAGCTAAAGACTACTGGAACCAACGATGAGGTAAATGAAAACCAAGATAATTATAAAGGGACGTCAGGATCAAACTCATACCGTTATTCCCAGAGGAGGAAAAACCTAATTACAACCCACTGTTCCATGTCTGGGAGCTATTTATTTATCTATATTGATCTTACGCAGGATCGGTTTAATGTAAAACATAAGTGTACAATATCATTTCGTACGGAGAAGTAGTGGAAGATGGGAGTGTAGAACATGTTAGAGATGTACAGCGAGAAGAACCTAGCAGATGCAATGATCAAGCTAATCAATACTAACAAGTTCGTATGGTGTAGATCATGTTATGGCTCAACTAAGAGATAAGCAACATGATATGACATGTATAGAAAGGATATGGAAGGATCATCAAAATGTGACTTTAAGTGGAAGAATGTGAATAATGGTAGCCACAATGTGAATAGCAACCAGGCCAACCCTGAGAATTTGGAGGCCCTAAATGAAAAATTATTTTGAGGCCTTATATTTTTATTTTTTTTCATATATGTAACAATATCTTGAAGCTCTGTTGAATTGTTGGTATAATGGACTCAGACATGGACTGTTGTGCTAGTATAATATTATTATTATGAGTTTTGAGGCCCTAGGCCCAAGCCACATTTTTTGAGGCCTAGGTGACTTGGCCCCAGGGCCAACCCTGATAGCGACAGACATATTAGAGAGAAAATACTAGAGATTCGGATAAAAATTAAAAGAGTTAAAATATTGGTCTCTCCTTATATTTTCTAATTAGTTTCTCCTATGACAAAATTTCATAAGCAAGAGTTTAAGTATCGCACATTTCAAAATAAAAAAAACAAGCTTCAAACTTCAGAAATCATATTTTTGTTAAAATTTATTTATGATTTAGTAAATTAATTAATTAAATATATTTAGGTCACAAATTAACGATTTAATTCGTTACTTTTTTTTTTGGTCACAAATCAGAAATTTTATGTCACAAATTATTTTATGAGTCATTGTTTGTTTATCAATCACAATTTATTGGTCACAACTTATTTCTCAATCACAAATAAAAAATTTTATAGATCAAAGATTGTTTTTTGGTCATGAATCAAAAATTTTATATGCAATAGATTATTCATAGGTTATAGATTCAAAACTTTTATTGGTAACAACTCATTTATTCATTACAAATTATTCGATTAATTGGTTACGATTAATTTTTCTATCACAGTTTAATCAATTATGAGTCACAGTCACAAATTTTAACCAATTTATTGGTCACAAACACGGTACAACCACCACCTCACACCACAATCACCACCACCACCATCTCATCCACCCTAACCTACTCTGCCACCGTCGCTACCACAATCGGCAACTCACCCCAACCACTATCATCACTGTCGCCAGCAACTCACCACAACAATCATCGTCGTCGCCAACAATACCTAATCTATAATCTACCATCTCGCAGCCCACTCCAATCCAAGCGGTGCCACCACCACCATCAACACCAATGGTGCTTCCACCACCACCACCACCACCACGTCACCACCATCGAATCATCTTCATACCCACAACAAAAAAAAAGGAAGAAAAACATATCACCACTCAAATCTGGACATACAACGCCGTGCATGGCTGAGCGACCATCGCATACGACGTTGCAAGCAGAACACCTCAGTCGAAGTCCTCTCAACCCCCACGCGACCATCAAATTTTCTTTTATTTTTTTCCACACACAGACGAAACATATTCAATTCTAGTCGCCGCGACGGCATCTTTACAGCGGTAGCAGTGATTGAGGCAATGGTTGCGTCGCTGTCGGAGAAGAGAAAGTGAGGGATATAGAGAGAGAGCGAGGGAGGGAGAGGGAGGAGATTTACGGGTTTACTAGGTAGTGCATAGGGTTTTGATTTTTTTGGTCCTAATTTTACTAGTTTATTTAAATAGTTAATAAAAAAACTTTTGATTTTTGAAATATCAAACTTTTTACACTAGGTTTTAGAATGTTGAATATTTAAATTATGATTTGGTGTAATTTCCACTTCCTATTTCAAGAGAGATTAATTAATTTTGTTTTCTTGTACTTAGAGATAGGAATAACAACGGGGTGGGTATGGGATGTATTGACTATTTCCATCCTTGTCCCGTTGATTATTTTTATATCTTATCACATACCCATACCCGATTAAAACGAGGCGAAACGGCCATTTCCATCCCTGTCCCGTTGATTATTTTTGTTATCTTATTCCATACCCATACTTGATTAAAACGGGACGGCTCGGGGTAGGTCTCTGCCCAAGTTATTTTTTTTTTATTTTATATTTTGCTTTTATTTTTTTATGTCCTTAATTAGTGAATATTATTACTTTTTTTCTTTTTCTTTTTTTTTTTTTTGCCAATTTGTTAAAAACAATTTATGTTCTCTGTAAAAATGATGATAAATCTATGTTTTTTTTAATAAAAACTTAAATTTGAAATTAACTTTAAACGGGGCGGGGACTACGTTTCCCATACCCTCCCCATACCCACTTCGGGACAATGACCCTCGCATCCTACCCATTCCATTTACTCGGTTAGGCGGGTAATCCCCGCCCCATTCAAGGCTGGGCCCTCGGGTATTGGATCGAAAGGGGTTTTTTTGCCATTCATACTTTGAGAGAATGTTGTTTTAGTTTTTCTACTATAATTTAATGGAATCCTTCGATACTTGTCCTTGATTTTTACCCCAAATCAAATTGGGAGTTCTACCCATTAAATCCTTGTGTGTAATTATATTTTTCAATTTTCTCAATCTTATTTTAGCTGCATTCTAGATGTTAACAGTTAAAAATTGTCAAATAACCATATCCATGTGTGTGTTTCAATTTTGAAATTACTTCTAATTTCTACTTATCTATCTTTCAATGTGAGGATTTCTATCCTATTTTCTTGTTTTGGGAGTTGAGATAATTGAAATATTTTTCGGCTCTTGATTTCCAGCTTATTTCTTTATGTTTAATTTTTGAATTGTTATCAACAATGAAAAAAATTAGTTTTATTGAAACAAACATTAATGTTTGAATGACTATAGGAACAAGTGACTTAGTTATTTTAATCTTTAATCAATATTTTATAATTGAATTACTTACAAGTAAAATTTTAAGTTTTGAGAGTGACTCAATATATTAGTCTTGTTCCTAGACTAAAATCCTAACGCTATGAATTTAGAAATAATGCCCATCTTTAGGTTAGTTTAAAAAGTTAATTAAAATTTAAGTAAAAGTCAACAATTAACTTTAATAACAATTTTTTTTTATCAACTTTTAAATCACACGTTTATCTACTTTTATCAAAATTTATTAAAACATATTTTTAGCAAAAATAAATAGGGCAATATTTATAAAACTAGAATGGTCATTTTTTGCCTGTTAAAGATAAACAATGCTTGAAATTGAAAGATTCCCACCAAAAAAAAAAAAAAAAGAGGGAGTTGGGGGGGGGGGGGGAGGAAAAAAGGAGGTTAGGGATTAAATTGATACAATGGTCATATATAGGGGACGAATGGTACAATATTTCCCTAATCATCAACATTTTGGCGGCAAATTTTATTTTATTTTTTTAAATCTTTTTGTACGAATTATTACATAAATTTTGCTACTTGTATATAAAAATATATATAATGAATTACATAATATGATGTAGAGAAAAATGATGAAAAAATTTAATTGTATTTTAAATTGGCAAATGATAAAAAATTGTCCTAAACTTAAAGAGAAAAAACACACAAGTATTTCACATAATACACACATTAATGGAGTCCACCCCCATGTGTCTTCCCAGTAAAAGTTCCCTGAGAAAATGCCATTTTCCAATGATAAAATGTCATATGAGACTGTTTAATTTATTATGTAAATTTTGATGTATAAGTAATAAAGTAAATATTTTTTTTCAAAATTTGTAGATTTTTCTGCGAAATTTGTACAGAAACATAGCTGTCATTTTGTGACATTATCAAAAACAATTTTTGGCATCCCCAACCAATTCCGTTAAAAAATTATGTACTTGGAGATTAATTGAGAACTCACATTCTAAAGTTGATTTTCAATTTTCAGAAAAAGGAGTGGGAGATTATCAGATGGAGCCGGGTGCAGGAGAAGGCTCATCGACGGACGATTATGAGTCGTTGATCTCGACGACAGACGCGGAGCTGCTGAAGCGCGCATGGCGGAACGAAAAGGCAGCGCCGGAGATTCTGAAATTTGAGGCTGCTTTAGTCCAGAGATCCCGCCAACAGATCCAATTGATGGTAAATGTATACAAATTGTGTAATTGTATTAATTATCTTTTTGAAACTCTAATTGTCATGCTCACACATTTTACTTTTATACCATTTTTTTTAGTCAGTACTAGCAGCGGCGGTAGAATTGGTGCCAATCGTTCTTTGCATTTTTGCCCGTCTTGTCCCTGGAACTGTTCGATAAAATGCGTGAATGAAAAAAATAATTTAATGGGATTCCATATTTCCGTATGAGTGCGTGAGTGCGTGGTTTGGGGTTGGGGTTGGGGTTGGGGTTGGGGTTGGGGTTTGGGTTATAGACTAATATTTAAGAGGATGGCGACATTGGGGTTTAGACGCCACGAGAGACAACTTGTTGAAGGAATTCATCAATGGTTTTATTTAACCATTTTTTTTTGAAAGGTAATCAGTTTTATTTAACTATTTGGCGTTCAATTTTATTATTTTTTTCCCCTCAAATTACTGCTGAATCTGCTGTTAATTGTAAACTGCAAACTAATATATGAAAGAGACGGATATTTGTTCCACCCCTCAATTATTCATATTCTAATCAAATTTTGAGACCACAGAAAATGAAGCTGCTAGTTTAGGTTACAAATGCAGTCTAGAGGAAGAAACGCATACTATTGCTGGGGCATACTAGTTGTAATGATTCCATCATACATGATAAAGAATAAATAAAAAGGCCATTCCAAAGAAGTTTCATTGCTTTTGAGTAGCCAGTGACTTAATTTATTCTACGCTTTGCATTGGACATTACTGGAAACAAAAACTTAACAGGTTGATTGTATGACCTAAATGTGATCCTTTCATGAGTATCAGATTTAGTGTACAATGATAGGGGCTTTACTTTATTTCTTTTTTCATTCTTACTTTAGGAAGAAACAGTGGAAGAGTTCACAAGAAATGGTGTTGATCCACTCACGGTGTCCCTTTACCAGATGGACTTGGACCGGACCCTTTTCCTATTGAGATCATATCTCCGGACTCGTCTTCAAAAGGTAGCATTGGTTAGACCTATTATTATGCCATATTGGGTGTGTTCCATTGTGAGTTTTGCTTTCTATATTTTTCGAGGCTGGAGCTTAAATCCAAGCTTAATTTTATGTGCAGCCAACCAAAACTTGCTGTGCCAGTAAAGTGATAAATGCTTATAGATATTGAATTTACGTTGACAGCTTTCAAGATTACATTTTCAATGACTTGATCTACTCTTTGCATGCAATGAGATGTTAGCATCATCTGATAACAGCTTTGTTCACTTCTGAACAACATTTTGACAGATTGAAAAGTACGTTCTACACATCCAAAAAACTGCTCAATTGTGGAATCACCTTTCTAAACAAGAACAAAAATTTGCTGTAAGGTGATGGCTATTCTCATTCTCTGTTATTGCTTTTAAATAAAAATTACATCTTTTATAGTTGACAAGAAATACAGGTGTATTGGAGACCTAACACAACATCTGGAACAATCCGTGCTCTCAAAATTGCCTGATCAGTACCAGTCCCATATGAAGCAATCTGGAGCTAGTGAAGATGATGACATGGGTGAGTTGATCATCTTGGCACTAGTTCTGTGTGTCTTTTTTTTTTTTTTTTTCCCAATTGTTTCCTTGCTTCTTGATTCTTGTTACCAAATTCCATATTAGCATGTTTCAATTATGACCTCTTGATCTGAGGCTCAAATATTCTGACATCCAACTTGGTTGTATATAACTTTTGCTTTATTATTAGCACAAAATTGTGACTTTATGAGGTCACTCTAAACATTATGCTAATACTGGATGTACCAGAGTACCAGTTTGCTTGCAGTTGAGTATTTTGTTAATATTGCTGAGCATGAGAAGTTTTAAGCCCCCGTTTGGACCCCAGTTTTTCCAAATTTTAATGTTTGGAATAATGTTTTTTTTTTGAAGAATGTGTGGTTGAAAAAGAATGAAAAATTTTCGATTTACGTGTAGTATTATTTTATGGAATATTGTGTAGTTGAAAATAAGAGAGAAGGAAAAAAATGATAGAGAATGTGGGCCAAATGGGGGCTAAATGCATATATAGGTCATTCCAGATGCTGAAAATACAACTCTTGCATGAATTAGAGATTTTTGCAGTTGAAGATTTTAACTGCCTTGTTGAATTATGTATATACCTGTACAGTGTATGCAGTACATGAAAATAGGAGTTTTAGATGTGACTGTTTCAACATAGAACCTGACAGTGATGAAGATTTAGAGTTGAATGATATCTTCTTAAACTATGAATTGGACTAGGAATCCTTTTTATACTTCATTTTTCTCGACATTCCATTGATATCTTTGTGGAAGAGATTGGTTACCGCTATATGGCAACACTCAATCCTTGATTTGTCGTGTGTGTGTGTGTAATTTAGTTCCAGAGCCGAAGCTGGACACCTACATTATCTGCAGAAGCAAGAAATTTTTAGGATCCTTTCAGCTCGATGACAGGTAATTGATTGTTCTTTTTTCCGGAGTATTGGACTTTTTGTTTAGCCGTTTCTTGACATTTGAATTATTGGATATGTGACAGTGAGGAAGAGCCTGTCAACATTGAAGCCGATGATTTGTATGCTTTACCTTACAAGTCGATAAAGCCACTAGTGGAGAGTGGGCAAATTGACCTTGTTTAATTAATTTTCAAGCTTATGAAGGAACGGGAACGTGAAACTAAGATGTAATAGCAGGGTTTCCTCTAACCGGCATCGGATAGTTCTTCTATTAATCAACTACATCTTTAGAAAATGTTGTCAGATGAACTACGTTGAGCAATAGTTCATGACTCGTCTCTTACAGGTAAATTTACTTTATAAGCTACTCATAAGGTGATGCTTAACCCCCCACCCCACCCCCCCGGCAACAAACCATAAACCTTATTTATTTTTCAAACACGACCACTCATACACCTGAATAAATATAAAGCTTGAAAATGCAACACCCGGTCGTCTTTTTTGGAGGTTAGAATAGTGAATATAGAACTGATCAACGAAATTGTAAAATCAAATCGAAATTGTTTTTTTTTTTTAATTTCTTGATTTTGATTCAAGTGGACCTGTTAACGTTTTTGTTTTGAATCGAATCAAACTGCTTCAATGGGGTTTGGTTTATATTTCAATTTTTGCAAATTGTTTTAAACTGTTGAATAGTTTTTTAAGTAGTAGTACTATTAATAATAATAATTTTATCCGGCCCAATTAAAACTAATCACATCCTAACTTAAAAAAAATACATCCGTCTTAGACATAAAGTAATTAAACTCAAAATCAAAATAGATAATTATCGATCTCAACTAGTTAATTAACTCATACACAAATTTCCATCAGTCATTACAATTGTAAATGCAAAAATCTCGAATTGGGTAAATTGTTGAACAATTGCTGATAGTCATATTTATTAACCGTCCATTACGATTGAGTAGATAATTAAATATAGATTTTATTTCAAACTCAACACATATTTTTTTACTTCCACTAATAATTTTCTTGAATATAAAAAATTTTCAAGTCACTTTATCCAAAATTTCTTATTTTTTTTGTGATTGTTGGCTATGTTTTATTGGTAGTTGTGTTATTTTGCTCTCATTTGTTTTTGGCTCTCTTGAGTTTTTAGCGGATAGTTTTCTGGCGCAATCACTCAAATAATTATTTATATTTTAATTTAGTTTTTTTATTTTTACTGTTGATTGCTAAAATGATTTGGTGGATTATTTAAATCATCGAGTTTAAGATTTGACCTATGATAGAAATTGAATGCAAATAAATATAAGATTGTCACTCAAATTGTTAGAAATGTATGAGCTATTTAAACATCCACAAATTGTTTGAGTTTACTACATTAGTGATCGAATTCTTAATTCCTTTATGAATTCATCAATTGCAATATGGTTGGGAAGGTATTTTGTCCTAAAAATTGGTTGCATGGTAATAAGAAACCTAAAATAATTTGTCAATATTTGGATAAGATAGAAGCACTTAATGCTTCATGAAAATGTTATAGGAGGTATTATCGTATTTGATATTTTTATTCATTTTATTTATTAGTAGTTATCTATAATTTGACTATAATCAATGAATCTATGTACTATATTATTATCCTTATGGAGAGAATCAATCATGTGCTACAATTGGACATGTTACCCTTAATAATATCATGTTTAGGGGTTAAAATAAGTCTATTATGTTTTTGCATTATAACGATTAGAATTACAGAAATTTAGTTTCTAATATTTTTAATGATACTATATATGTTTTAAATCAAAATTTTAGAAATATTTATGATTTAACTTATTCAATATATGCTATTTTTTCTTTGTTAAACCTTGATTTTAAACCAAAGCAAACCAAAAAATAAAAGTGGTTTGGAATGGTTTGATTTAAAAATTGAAATGGTTTGATTTGGTTAAGAAAAATTTCAAAACAAATCATCCAAATTGAACATTATTCACTCCTAGTTGAATAAATAAGAAAACAAGAGAAAAACATGAAATTAAAAAATTGGCCATACTAATGGGCTAAAATCAAGTCCAGTCCACTCAATCTGAAAAATATTTATTCCTCTTTATTTCCGTTGGCCATTCAAAATTACAGTGACCTAATTCCAGAATTTTCGTGGTGTATTAGTCAAATTGTCGATCAATATACTGGAGAATTTGCGTATTATTTTCTTGTATAAAGATGAATTGCCTCTTTATGGGAATCCTTTGTAACTTGTACAATTAGGGTTCTCTACTGTACGGGGCAGAAAATTGAAGCAGGAGAATTGAGTCGCTTCGCTGCAGTGTTAAACCAGGCGCAGTGAATAACACCCTCCTAAATTACAGATTTTTCTATTAGTTTTTTACTTTATAGAAAATTGGAAATCGGAATCGGAATTTCATTATTTGATCGACTTGAGTCTTGATTGTCTTACATTGAGGATACACCCCTTCGAATCAAAATAGTTAATAAATTCGCCTCCCTAATATTGATATTGATTTTGTGGATACATTTTTTTCCCCCAATTATATATTTTCAATTTTTTCTGGGAAATTTTGAATATAATTTGTGGAAGGATAATTGGCACAAAACGTTCCTACCTTTAGAGTGTATTGTGGACAGTATTCCTACCTTTCATTTTTTGACATTTTTGCCCCTATTTTTACCCTTCTTTGCGTCGCAGGTTCTTTTCACTATTTTTTTGGATGTAAAATGACCAATATGCCATCCCCTTTAATAAAAGAAAAAAGAAAAGAAAAAAAAATGCAACTATAGGCGAAACTTCTAAAAAAGTGCAAATCCCCCCTCCAAAACTTCACCTGCTTCCCACGCCTCACCCCACGTCATCACCACTTGCCGGCCATTTTCAGCCACCTTCCGGTCAGCTTGGCCGGTGAACCAACATGCCATTTTGAAACCCTCACTTTCCTCTTCACAACCCATCCAACCACTGGTCGAAAATCTAAAGAAATTGGCTGAAAAATAGCACCAAAATAGGCTGCCCAAGCAACTTCAACAGCAAAATCGACAAATTCAACTCCATTTTTTAGTGCCGACATCATGATTGACGACGGCGGACCATCCCTCCTAGCACCTCCTCTTCAAGGAGAACCTAATGAACCTATGGGTCATCGTCAATTTCAACCAGAAATTGTAGAACTAGGCGATTTCTTCAACAGCGAAATCGACAACTTCAAACACATTTTTCGTCGCCAATGTCATGATCAACAATCGCGGACCATCCCTTCTAGCACCGCCTCTTCAAGGAGAACCTAATGAACCTATGGATCATCGTCAATTTTGACCAGAAATTGTAGAAACAGCCTCGACAGTTTGTACACAGAGAAACTCAGCCAGTCCCCTTTCGATTGATGATGCTACAGGGCTTCAATCCACCAATTCCAGCATGTAATCATCAATTAATATTGTCACAACTATGGGTCCTCCATCAGTTGCATCAATTCATCAACCAAACGATCAATTTTCAAGATTAAACTCAAGAACTACCAGTCGAACGCAAAATTCAGATTTTTTGGTTGTAGATTTTGATTTTCAGCTTTGTTTGATGATATGAAGACATCTATAGGAGCGTAATGAGAAGCATAATCGACCTGGATGATGGGTGTGTCATGGGTGTCGTTGGAAATGGAGTTTTTGGCCTCCATTTTTTGCTATTTCATGTTGCATGAATAGCCAATTTTGGCGTAATTTTTCAGCCAATTCCTTTAGATTTACGGCTAGTGGTTAGACAGGTTCTGAAGAGGGAAGTGAGGGATTCAAATTAGTATGTTGGTCCTGTTGCCAAGCTGACCGGAAGGTGGCTAAAAATGGCCTGCAAGTGGCGCTGGCATGGAAGTGAGGTGTAGGAAGAAGGTGAAATTTTGGGTTGGGGGGGGGGGGACATTTGCACTTTTTTAGAAGTTTCGGCTAAGTTGCAATTTTTTCTTTTCTTTTCTTTTTTCTTTTATTTAAAAAGGAGGGCATATTGGTCATTTTACACCCAAAAAAAGTGAAAAGGACCTTCAACACAAAGAAATGTGGAAATAGGGGCAAAAATGTCAAAAAATGAAAGGTATGAAAGTTTTGTGCCAATTACCCTTTGTGAAATTTTAGAGATGGAAACGATGATTGCACTGTTCTCTGAGCAGATTTGTTTAACTGCTTTTTGATGGACAATGCAGCCTACAAAGCTATATCTGATCTTGCTTTAATATTTTTATTTATTTTAAATTTGTGTTGATTAATTTAATCAACTGTAGTTTGTGACCAAAATCTGAAATTAGGTGATTTATTCAAATTTCAAAGCCCATGTTATGTTAATTTCTTTTTATTTTTTAATAATGTCAAAAAACTGTTTGAATACTATTTAGCCCGCGTTTGGCCCCCATTTTCGAATAATGAAAATGGGTGAAATAGTATTTTTTTTGAAAAATGAGTTGTTGAAAAATAAAGAAATTTTTTTGATTTAAGTGTAATATTATTTTATGGAAGATTGTGTGATTTAAAATATGAGAGAGAAAGATGAAATGTAATGTAATGAAATTTAATGAGGACCAAACGGGGGCTTAATTTACGTTGTGTAATTGTTTCATTTAAGGGTAATTAACATAAAACATCCTTATCTTTCAATGTTATTATGCATTTTGTAGCAATCATTCTTAATGTGCCCCCCTTCTTGCAATAAATTTTGAAGTTAGACCTTAATTTGTCCATTACACAACCACCATAAAAAATAAGGCCATCTCCATGAACTTCAAAATAAGAATGATTGCAGAATGAAGAAAGATTGGCTACAAATAAGAACAGTAAGAAATCAGATACTTCAGGTGAAGAAAATCTTGCAGAGAACTATGTGAGTGACTAAGATCTTTTAGCTATTTCTGACGTCGGATCTAAACCTGAAGTGGATCAGATTCTAGATTCAACATGGGTGTTTCATATGCGTCCTAATAAGGACTTGTTTACTACATAAGAAACAATTTCCCAAGGTGTTATAACTATGGGAAACAACGCATTTTGGTGGGTTGCTAGAATTGGTATGGTCAGATTGAAGCTGATGAATGGGACAATTAGAACAATTGGTCAAATTTGACATATTCCAGGTTTGAAAAAGAATTTCATCTCATTGCCTATCCTTGATTCAAAAGGTTTTGAATTCTTTGGTAAATGTAGAGCATTGAAGGTATGTAAGGGTGCCAAGTTGTATTAGAGGGACAAAACATATTTCAGTTATACATCTTGTAGGGTCGTGCAAAATCTAGAAAAATCAATCAGCACGGATTTAGCACCGTGGTGGAAATTCAGTTTGGTAAAGCACATTTAGGATTTTGTGCAGAGTTGAATTTGAAAAATACAGTTCGGTTGAGTTTAGAAGATATGAATAATGTCGCTTTGCCACCATCACCTGCAGTGCCATTGTATTTAATTGTTAGGGACGGACCTAGTGGAGATAGGTATTTGGATGTTGATTTTGTTGGGCATGGTTTAAGCGCAATAGAATGTGTATAATCTAGCAAGTGGCCTTCTATAAAAGCATTTAAGATTGATTCTGCTAGAGGGCTTGTTTAAGTCTTGTTTGGTGATTAATGATCACGCTTGATTTTGTTGCGCGTGATTCAAGCAACTTTGGTGTATTTGAGGTAATTCTACAGAGTAGTGCTTGGATTCATGCATTCTAGTTGGATATAATGGAACAGGTGAAAAATATTCCAGTTGGAATTGTTGACGGAGAAGTTTATTTGTATTTTTTATTGAAGAGTTCAAGTATTCATTGCAGTGGAATTCGTGTTAAGTTGGAGAATGTTAGAATTTTGATGTGACCCGAATTCATTGTTGAAGTAATAAAAGAGTTCTAATTGAAGTGTACATTAAGGGGATTTCAATTTGGAATGGTTTTGGAATCCTATTCGAAATCTATTTGACAAACTTTAGTTGAAGTTCTATTTGGAAACCCTATTGAGAGTTGGAATTTGTGTAACATTTAAAGAGATCAAGATAATAAAACTTTTTGGTATTTTATTTCATTTACAACCCAACTTCTAGGACTTGGATAGTTCTATATATGTATTTAGCTCTTCTTTATAACTTAGTTAGGTTGTTTAACATCGTTATAAATTCGACAAATTATAAATACAAAATCATTGTATTTTTCTCCATATTATAATAAAATCCCCATTCTCTACAAATTATTTTGTTCTTGTGTTTTTGTGGTCAATTAATTCATATCGTGGCTAAATCTCCTATTTTTTCCAACAAAGTGGTATTGAATTAATCTGGTATCATCTTCCACTTTTCGTAACAAGATCTGGATTGTAACATCTATTAATTTATATTTTTATTGCTTAATTAAATAAAATATAGACATTAGTTATGAGATTGTTTGAACTCTGGTTTAACACCAAAATTGATGGTTTGTCAAAAAGGACCAAGTATGCCAAACACACTAAAGGTTGAGAAAATATAAGAATCATAAACAATTTTGAGCTTGATTCATAAGATGTCCAGAGAAGTAGGAATACAAAAATAATTTACTTTCTTTTTTTTGTTTGAATAATGTTGGTCTCAAATAATATTTGGAAGGACCTCTAAAAAATTTAGGAAAAATTGTAGCAGAGGTCCCAGAACTTTTCAATTTTTGCAGACTTTATTCTAACTTTCATTTTGTGTCATTCACAATTTCAAGCCTTCAAAAATATGCAACTGGAGTTCAAATGAATAGATTTGAACGTTAGTTTCCAAGGAAGTCAAAATCTGATCAATTTTGACCAAATATTTAAGAATAAAGTGGTAACTTTATATTTTTTTCACTTAAATAAGTTAAAAATAAAAATATATAACCCCACTCACCTCTACCCCTAACCCACTCCCCCAAATCAAAATCTCAGTCTTCTTCTCCGACGAGACCTACCGAAAATCGCTGTTGTCGTCGCCACTGCCTCTCCAAATCAGTATGAAGTCATCGTCCAGTCGAGGGAATGTTACCATGACAAAGATGTTATGAAATTGCCATGCTCAACATCTACCATCCACATCAAAGCTAGCCCCAGTCCAACCTGGTGGTGTTGAACCCTCTACCTTTGGGTACTGTTCGTATTCTCCTTCCTCTCCCTGGGTTCATAATTTTTTTTCCCTCTTCCGTCGCCATCAAGAGAACGCTGTTGGTTCTGGCCATTTATTTGGGGAACATTCCCTCGATTGGACATATTTATAACCAGTCCAATTGCTAGTTCTGATGTATTTAATGTGGAAGCATCTTGAGTTATACTGCACAGCCCCCTTGAATTCCCATCCTAAGCATGAGATTTAGGCCTGAGTCTGAGAATCCCACTGGAGCTAGGCGAACCTCGAGGAAACTTGTACGACCACGGGTAACCATTTAATTGCTCCAATTAAGGTTGGTTGGCAGTTTGATTTGGTATGATTTGGTGGCTGGTTTGGTTGATTGTATTTCTGATTGGGGAGTGGTAGCGACTGCCTTTGAACGACGATGTTGATGATGTATGGATGGAGGTGATGGCCGGCCTTTGGGTGGTAATGTCGACAGTCGGTGCGGTGGGAATGGGGAAGAGTAGAGTGGAAGGAAGAAGGGTTCATTTTTATTTTTTGGTTTTTTAATTTTATTTTTAACTTATTTAACCCGTGTTTGGTTGCCATTTCCATTTTCAATTGTAGAAGAAATTGGACCGTTACACAGCAAGTTTGCAAGTGCATTTAATGTGCACCAGAAATGGAATTACAATTTTACCCTTTTTTTGCACTTACTTCAAAGTAAATGCAAAAAAGTGCTGTACATGGGCATTTCAAGAAATTTTGTAATCCTAGAAATGGAATTGCAGGTTTATCCAGTAGTAGAGGGAGAATTTCAGGAGATTTCCATCCTATTGAGTCAAAAAAAGGGCTGTGCATGGCCCTACAATCATGTTCAATGGGCATAAATTTTCTGAAATGGGGTGAAAAGGTTTAATGTGAGAAAAATATAAAGTTACCATTTTACCTTTAAATATTTGGTCAAAATTGATCAGATTTTATTTTTGACTTCGTTAGTCAAGTGACGGTCAATTCATCTATTTAGACTTCAGGTGCATATTTTTGAAAGATTTGAGATTGTGAGTAGTACAAAATGAAGGTTAGGATAAAATTTGCAAAAATTGAAAAGGTTAAGGGCCACTACTACAATTTTCCCAAAAATTTATGACTAGAAATGTAAAGAAAGCAAATCGTTATGGGTATAAACAAAAATGTCGGGGCATAGGCCAATCTGTGCCCTCCCACTTTACACTCCTAAAATTAGCAAAACATAGTTGTTTAGTAACATTGATAGAAGGCTTTAAATTAATCTTCCATAGCACAAACTACATTGAAATACACTCACTATTTAATAGTAGGATGTATGAAATTACACCATGTTAAGATTTATAACACTCTTACCACATAAATATTCATGAAAAGGTGTCTGAATTTCTACATTGCTCAAATCTTCATTTCCAAATCCACTTGGCTATGCTGATAAGCTTGTTCATGAGCCCCTTTTTTGGTTTCTTGCCATTACTTCCATTCTCTCCATTTGACAGCTGGGAGCCATTCTCTAATGTTTCCAACTTTAGCTCTGAGACTACACCAAAGGCCCTTGCCAGCTCTGAGTGGATATTTATCAGTTTCAATTTAAATGAGGATGGAACCTCATTCGAAGATGAACTAATCAACACATAATAATCCTGAATGGCCGCCAATATAGAATCTGCACGCTTATGAAAGTGTTGAGTGACAAAAATCTCAAAATTCTTTGGTGGGTTACGCATTATGTAAACCATTGTCTTACAAGACAAAAGGAATACCTCTGCGTTGTAAGACTGCGATTTGTTTATCCATCTAGAATGCTTGCTATTTTTGACATTTCCATAGCCAGGCTCGTTGAAAAAGGGTCTCTCATTGAGCACAAGGCCTTGAATAGAGACCAGAAGCTGAAGAATAGTAGAATTCTGTGTCCACTTCTCCATTTTACTCCCGGACCAAGTGTTGAGTAGGCTCAAACAAACTTTCCCATCCGCATAAAGATTTGGATTCAAACGGAGTCCATGAGCGTGATAGTACACTTTCGGAGGTTGTTTTGGATACTCAGACGGCAGATAAATGTCAAAGAAGAAGAGACCATTGTGATAAGGGGTTCCTTCAGCACCAATAATTACAGCTCGAAGAAGATCAATCCTAAACTCGTAAACTTGGACATAAATGGATTCGGGAAGATTTTTCTCAAGGCTTCTCCATTCTTTCATGATCTGCTTATAAACAGAACTGTCGACATTACTGAATTTTTTTGCCTTCGTACTGGATAGATTAGAATTACCATAGTGATGATCTGATGCATCTGACACAACATCAAAGTGTTTGAACTCGAAATTGGAAGCAAGCTTTTCGCCAGAGCCTGATCAACATAAATCTAACATTTATTATATACAACTATTTAATTTTGTGGAGCCTAATCATATAATACAATGTTTAGGGCCCAACAACGGCAAGCCTAAATTGCTCAGCCAAAAAATAGTTGGTTTTCTGATAATCTCTTCCACAGAAGTGTTTCTTCAGCAAAGAAGAGAAACTATTTTATGAAAAATGCTTACTAAACCAAATAATTAAAAGGGCCTCTTATAATTAAACAATTTTGATCATAGAAGATACAGAATCTTCAAGAAAGCTTATACTGAACCAAATAGAAAGTACACAAAATCAAGAAAATATGACCACAATAATTTGTATACAAAAACACTTATTCTAGAGAACAGGAATTCTTGTACCTGATGCCATTTGCGATCAAGAATTTTCAACTTTTCCAGGTTTTTATTTATATTCTGAAACAGTTATGGTGTGAGAAGTAATGGTTGAATACTGCGAGTTGTTGTTTCAAGAACTCTTTTGCAACTGAAAGCCTTTCCGTATAGTGTGACCTGTTTCTCTGTCAGAATCAACTAGAAAAATGAGAATAATTAGTAAAAATAGGAATGAAAAAATGTCTCACAACAAGATAAAAGACAATGCTACAAGCAAAAAATTTATTCGCCCCACCTTCCTCCTTGTTGATTACTTTTTCCATTTTTGTATCTGTATAATTTGGAGCCTTGGTTTCCATTTATACTAGAAAGGATGACAAAATTGATGCGTCGAGTGACATTTCACCGAACCATAACTTTAAAGTTACGTAACACTTTCATAATTAATTTTTTTATCCTCCTTTTTTTCTATTTAGCAGTGAGTATCATTCAATTAGTGCTTTGCTGTGCTTATTTATAGAACAAATAACTAAAAGATTGGTGAGTTTCCTACTATTTTCTTTCTTTTATTGTTTTATTTCCTTCCTATGTCTCGTAGATATTTCATTTACTTTTCAACTCTTTTCACCTAGATTTTCATTTCTCTTTCCTTTCTCATCCTTGATTTTTCCCTTACACTCTTCAAGACTCAAAGCCAGAGAACATGTCATCCATGAGGCCAACAATATTGGACTGATTTGCTCTTGTGGTCGTCCATATTTTCCTCTGAAAAGAACTGTTTTTTTTTTTTTTTTATACTTTTCCGGTTCCATCACTATCACGAGCTTTGCAAGTAACTTGTATTGCACGCACTATCTTTAACGCCTGGAATGGTTCAATAATCCAGATGGGGCACGCATTATCTTTAATGCGTAGAGTAGTTTGATAATCGTGATGGACTAGTACTAAGACAATCAAGTACATGAAGCTTCTTAATGTTCTAAACAATTTAATAGAAACTTCTTTAACATCCAAGAATAACATATTGATTTGTTATTCTAGGTTACGAAAATTTCACATCGCAGATACGCCAACAAATGATATTCCATCCCAATAACTACTATTGATCTTACTAGAAATATCTGTAAGTTCTTGGCCACTGAAATATCATCCCTTCATCCACCTGTGAGATAAATGATATTGATAAGCCATTGTGGTTGCCATTATGGAATATGCACTCTTAGAAAAGTGCTTTACAATAATTCTCAAAATTCTCTGGTGGACTGAGCATTAATGTATAAAGCATTGTCTAAATTATTGAGATTTTTTGACAGTTAAGATTTGAGATGGTGATGATCCAATGCCTCCAGCACAACATCAAAGAGTTTGAACTCGACATGTGGTAGCTTGATTTTTGACGAAATCCGATGAACAAAAGGCAGATATGCTCATTAGAGACATCTTTTGAATGTGTGAAGTCTGTACACCCTACATAAATAAAGGAGATTTAAGAGTGTCATTTTCTTTCACACACAAATTATCTTCTTCTTTGTAGTAAAAGTCTACTGTGAGTTTTGCTTAATATTACTCTCATAATATTAATGGAGTCAGCTAAATGCCTTTGTCAGCTAAATGGTGGGTTTCTAAAACTACCTTGTTCGACAAAAGTCATCATAAATACGTCAAAAGTGTTTCTTTTACAACATTAATTATTCTATGATATAAATTCAAACTAAGCTTAATTCTTATAATAAGTAATATGGAACATAAAAGTACTGATGCAATTATAGTTATTGGAATTCTAGTATGTGAATAATGTATATACACAGGCAGATCATCAATTTTATAGGTGTTCTAACCCTAAATTTCAACATTGGTCATAGATAGTAAACACTTTCTAAACACGCACAATTGAGAAAAGTATATAAGATAAACAAACAGAAAACAATTTGTACACATATAATCAAGAGAACGTGAATCTTGTACCTGATGCCATAATTTATGAACAACTGCTTAACTTTATCTTAGCTTTTCACTTATTTTCTGAAACGATTCTGCTTGAAAACTAATATTTGAATATTATAACTTATAAGTTGTTTTTGTTTTCAATACTTTATCTGTCTCAAATTAGTGAAAGCCTTTCCCAAAGCCTGTGTCGTGTTTGGTAGTCAAAATTAAATAGAAAAAAGAGAATAATTAGTAAACCTAAGAAAGAATTGACAAATAGTTAATATTATTTTTTGGATAGTGAAAGTGAATTAACTTATACAAAACCACAGAATTAACTTAGAAAGTGAAAGTCTATGAAAGAATAAAAAAGGTAATTGTTTACCCTTGTTTAGTGCTATTATTGTAACAAAAAATAAATAAATAAATAAAATGAAAACATCTTCTAGTAGTATAAAATAAACTGTCAGTATACTTATATGATAAACTAATAAATGAAAAGCTAAAAATAATTTAGATGGATAAAATGTATTTATAAGTCTGCTATTTTATTTAATAAGCAAATTAAACATTACTTTCATTCCAAAATTTGATGAAAAATTATTTCATGGTTTGAATACATCTAAAATTTATTATCAATGTACTAATAAATTTATTTTTAAACTTCTGTTATATTTATCTATACATTCTTTAAAAAAATAATAATAAATAATAAATTCACTATTCAAAACATCATTTTCCCCCCAATTTCTATTTATAATGGCCATGAAATAGGTCTTGATAAATATGTACGTATTCAAACTAACAAGGTAGGAATAATTATAAATTTATTATAGGGAGCCCTATTTTCATTCGCATTTCTTATATAACTATCACACTTTAAATTTATCTCTATTAAAATTTTAAATATCAAAAAATTATAATATTTATCCACATTTCACTCCAATATTGTTTTTATTAAATTCATTCATTTAAACATTATCTAAACCACTTTTTTATATATGTACTCACTTTAAATCTATCCCTATTACATTCATTAACTATCCCAATCTTCCATTGCTAAGTTGTAAATCTGGCGAATTCAAAGGTGATTGATTTCAATGATAAAATATACTTAAACCGTCATTCTATACCTGTTGTTTCAATTACGATATGAAGAATTTCCCTTTCTTTCTACTGGCAAGGTCTAAATCATCCTGACCAAATTTGCCCTTACATTACAACATAGACGCCCATTGTCAAGGACGAACTCATAAAAATGATTCAATGGGAGCGAGACAAAATTACGTATTAATTATGAGTTAAAAATTTAAAATTATGGACTAAAAAATTATGTAAGCTACTTTGTAAATGTCAAAAATTAAGAGCCAGTGGATGCAATTGCACCCCACTAGATCCTTAATGGGTCTGGTCCTGCCCATTGTTGAGCATGACAATGTCTTTAGCTCCAGCAACTTTTGCTGCAACTAGAGAATTTTCAATGTTGAGTTCACCATACCAGAAAACAACGGGGCAGCACGATATTATATGTTACTATAACCCATTTTTATTTCTAAATAACAACTTCGAAATGAAAAATAAATTGTTGGGCGAAGCTTACCCTTCTCAAAACATAAAAGAAGCAAAGAAAGAGAATTTGTTTCACTTACAATTCAGCAACTTAACACCTAGACTAGAGAATTAAAAACCAATGCTCATAAAAATTTTAATAATTACTAACTAGACTCCACACCCCATTCTCAAAAACTGCTACGTGTTTTCCATGATCCCCTTGTTATAATCGGGCCAAATAATTAAAAATCAATGCTTATAAAAAATTTTATAATTGGACTATTGGTCAATTCCAATATATGTTATACACCACATATTTATAACCAAAAAATCTATAACATACTAGGAGAATTAATACATGGAAAGTTTAATATAAGATAAAGTCTTAATACAATAGGTAAAACCAATAATGGAGAATTGAGATGAAATAGGAGTCAAAAACTACCAAAAGGGGGAACCATTCTCCTTATCTTTCTTGAACTCTTTTAAGATTTTTTCAAATCTACTACCAACTTCCAATACTACTCTAACAGTATTTCCAATCAAATACTCAACAAGAATTCGGGCCAAAACCCAATTCTAACAATCTCCATCTTAACACGAATTTGATTACAAGGAATAAAACTTTAACTCTTCAACTCCAACCATTCTCCAAACAATAACACTCCACCTCTTCCTCCATGCCCCTCTGCATATTCAGCAACTATGAACAGATTTCAAGACATGCTTACTACCAGAATTACCTTGCGCGTCAACTTTGCTTGAATAATCACATTCACCTCTAGCACTAGCCAAGTTACTCGAATCACCAAGAGCACTTCCAACTCCACCTGAGCTGTCTAACCTGCTGAAATCACCATAAGCAACGTGATCAACAAGATCACAACTAGCTCCACTTGAGCCACTAGAAGATTCTCCAATATTATTGTTTGAATCACCACGAACAAACTGACCACAACCGACTCCACTTGAGTCTCCGCTTATCAAATCATAAGTTGCAGCTGCATCCAAAATGATCGTTGAACCTTCCAAAATATATAACCAATCCTTACATTACTTCTCCTCTAGTATCCAAACAAAAAAAAAATCTTGTTACGATCCAAAAGTGGAACTCAAAATTCGTACTTTCCATCCCTGGAACAACCAACCATGTTCAAACTTCGCCTTAATAACCAATTTAGCCCTCTGAAGAATCACCAAAACCTTGGCTCTGATATCACTTGTTATAATTGTGACAAATAATTAAAGAACGAGAAAATATGGACAATATGAAAATAATAGATCACAAAGAAAACAAGATTTACATGGAAACCCAAATATGGGGAAATCACGGGCAGAGGTGGAGAAGTCCCTATCATCAATAATAAGGAATTACAAAGAATCTCTTTGGACCAATAAGTAATTGGACTATTGGTCAATTCCAATATATGTTATATACCACATATTAACCAAAGAATCTATAACATACTAGGAGAATTAATACATGAGGAGTTTAATTTAAGGTGAAGTCCCAATACAATGGATAAAACCAATAATAGAAAATTGGGATGAAATAGGAGTCAAAAAAACTGCCAAAATGGAGATTCATTCTCCTTATGTTTCTTAAACTCGTCAAAAACTTTTTCAAATCTACTACCAACTCTCAATATTACTGTAACAATATTTTCAATCAAATATTCAACAAGAATTCGGATCACAACCCAATTTTAACACAAC